GCTGCTGCTGTTGCTGCTGTTTGTGCTGCTGCTGCTGCTGTTGCTGCTGCTGCTGCTGCTGCTGCTGCTGTTGCTGCTGCTGCTGCTGCAGCGTGATATGCATAAAGCAGCTGATAATAGCGGCTGGTTTATGTGTATATACTCACGAGGGTTTACTTTGTATTTACGAAGACAAAACAAAAAAAACAAATAAAATAAATAAAACAAATAAAACAAATAAAATAAATAAAATAAATAAAATAAATAAAATAAATAAAATATATAAACCCTCGTCTCCTTTGCTGCCGCCGCCGCTGCTGCCTCCCCTTTCTTCTCTGCATACACAAACCCTCAAAAACGCCTTCAGGTAAACCCTAAACCCTAAACCCTAAACCCTAGACTCTAAACCCTAAACCCTAAACCCTAAACCCTAGGCTCTAAACTATAAACCCTAAACTCTATCTAAACCCTAAACTATAAACTATAAACCCTTAACTATAAACCCTAAACTGTAAACCCTAAACCCCAAACCCTAAACCCTAAACCCTAGAGAGAAGAAAGTAAGAGAGATAGAAAGCAGCCATAACCCCCCAAACAACCATAAAATATTTAGGGTTTAGGGTTTAGGGTTTAGGGTTTTGTGCAGGGCAAAGAAAGCGTATAAGAGAGAAGAAGAGGATGGAAATATAAAAATAAAAAAAGGGAGAGGCCGCAGCTCAGTGTGGCGGCAGCAGCAAGAAGCATGCAGCAGCAGCAGCAGCACGGAGAGAGCAGCAACAGCAGCAGAGATAAAAGCAGCAGCAGCAGCAGCAAAACCTCATTTATTATTTATTTGTTCTTACCTTACTGACTCTCCTATTATACAAATAATACCTCTCTCTATCCCCCGCTGCTGTCTCCTCCCTCACCAGCAGCAGCAGCAGCAGCAGCAGCAGCAGCAGCAGCAGCAGCAGCAGCAGCAGCAGCAGCAGGAGCAGCAGCAAGAGGGTTCTGCTGCTGCTATTGGTATTGTACTAGAGGACGGGAGACTGCAGGTTGTATCTATCGATTCTTTTTCTCTTTTGTTGGAAATAAAGCCCCAAAAGAAAGTCATCGTGCATGCACAGACAGACAAACACACCA